AATGTAATTAATTCAGAAAATTTTTTCAGGACCCCACCTTGATGTTTCGGGACCCCAGCTTTGGGAAACACTGCTATAGAGGCAGTTTATTTTTAAAATGTCTTCCAAAGTTGTAGTAGAGATATTTTTGTGCAAAATCAAACCAGTTTTCTTTTAATATTTGTTTCGCTTCATTTTTACTGCTCCGTTTGAGACTTACCTCAAAGTGGTGGCAACAATGTCGTCGTGTGGGAGCCAGACACACAGGCTATAGTAGTGTTCACACAAAACAATGTACAATGTGGGAGTGAGCACTGGGAAGTGAGGAATTCCAGTTGAGCGTGTTTGAGACCCAGAGCGTGAGTTTGGTTCAGCGCTCTGCTTGACTGAACTGAACAAACAAACCGCTGTTTGTTGTTGCTGAAAAACGGAGTTTGAAGGGCCAATTATGGAGGAAGTGGCTCGGAGAGAAAGCAAACATATCAGGGGACTGTAACCTGCGAGTGCTGGTGTATCGAGGCATGATGAAAGAGCGGTGGACTATTTACAGATTGTTTGGAGATCAGATGTTGTAATTAAACGTCAGTCTCGGGAATTTCTCAGAAGTGTACAAACAGGATGCAGCAAAGCATTCACGTGTCGAAGATGAAGGATCATCCAACATCACATAAGTAAAAGTGTTATTATAATTACAGATAATAAGAATAGTATTCTAAATGCTTTAATTTCATGATGAGAGATAACCAGTGTTTTCTTTGGCTTTTTGTGATCTACCCCTAAAAATTGGGTTTAAATCTGTTTTTTCGTAAATGATGTAAGATATTCGGGATCTTTTTCTTGTAGCTGTTCTAAGCTACTGCTTGAAAATACATGCTTGTAGGATTCTGTCGTCATACAAATGATCTGTATCTTTTAATTTAGGCTTTCCATTAACCTCAGAAATCTGAACTCAGATCTGGGAGCGTGGTCATCCCTAGCCTGGCCCTTGCCTTCCTACGCAGCTCCGCTCAAATCTAGTTTCCCTTCACTGCTCCGTCTGGGATTTCTCCCATAGACGAGGATTTCGCTGGCAGATTTTTAGCCGGGCCAATCGGAGAACAGAACGTCGATTTCCTGCGCAGTGTCTGCTTGTAATTTATTTTACTTGGGCCAATCAATAAACAGAAGGCGGAGTTTTGAATGATGTCATTTTTATGCGCAGTGTCTGCTAGTTAGTTAGCAATGGCAGTGGAGGAAGTGAATGAAGCCAGTCCGGGTTGATAAGGCTTCCAAATTAAATTAAATTTGCCTGACAAAGCAGCAGCTCTCATTTACAGTCGTCTCGTTCGGCTCGGTATTTCTCTCCTTCCAGCAGGGTTGTTTACAGTGCACGCGATTTCCGGTTAGCTTCTTAGCTTAGCCTCCTTCACAGTGACACACACACACACACACACACACACACACACACACTTCAGCAGAGGCCACGCCTCCAGCAAGAATAGCTTCTTTAAAGCAGCGAGTCCAGACCCTCGTACGAAGCAAARTGAACGACAAGGGTCTGGTTTTTACCAGGCTAGGTCATCCCGAATGGAACCGTGTTTCCAGTTGTAAATCTGATCACTAGGATTTGCCAGTAACAATGTATCTCTACCCATCTTCTGCTT